CTCTGAGCCTTTCAGTTGAGTCTAAAAGGGAACCAGAGTTTTAAAAAGACCGGCCCCTCCTGCACTGGAGTCCTGGGGAAAGGATAAACCAGACTGGCTGGGCTCTAATTTAGTTTCTGGTGGCTTTCCACTTTCCTCTGCTTGACTGCTGGAAAGGGAAGGGGTAAAGAAAGGAAAACGGCCGCAGAATGCCGACTGCATGGTGTGTGGCACGAGCGAGTGCTTCCCTGAGCTGCTCCCTGTCCAGGCGCAGCCCACTCCATGACAGCCCTAGACCCAGACGCAGCGGACACACTTCAAGGCCACTGGACGAAGCCTGGACGTGACCCCGGGCCCTGCCACCAGGAGCTGCACCGTAATGAGCATCACTTACCATATCTTCTGCCCGGTCTCCTGGCCCATAACTCCTCCCTATTTGGGAATTGGCGGCTTAAAGTCAGACCCCAACACTTGTCCCCAACATGCCAAGTGTGACCACCAGCCTGTGCAGCCTCACCAGAGACCTGCAGTGAGGTCTGGCAGGAGGTTAATCCAGGGCAACACAGAAACAGAGGAAGGAGCCTGCAGGGTCACTGCCCCTGCCCTGCCTGCGAGAAGGCGCTGGTGTGGCTGTCCTGCTTCAGACACCAGGAGGGAACCAGGGTCAGTACAGCCTAGGCTTCAAGAGCTGGGATCTGGGCTCAGGGAACTTTGGGTTCGAATCCCAGCTCCACTTAGAGCTACATGGTCTTGGACCCCTGTTAGCTTTTCTAAGTCCCGGTGTTCAGGGCTATAAAATGGGGCTAGTGGTGGTCCCACTTCGTAGGAACACGGTGACAGTTAAACATAAGGCACATAGAGCCCATGGCCCAGTTCTTGGGCACATTAGCTCCTCCAAGAATTGTGAGATCCCTTTAAAAGACAATCCAAGTTGCACCTGCGCCAAGCTGAGAGGTAGGAAGGTCTTGCCTTCCACAAAGTCTCTATCATTTAAAAGCAACCTGTGCTGTTGTCCATTTCTCACGGACATCCTCGTGGTAGCTGGACTGCTGCCAGTCCTCGGTGCCTGGTAAGGGCTAGTCAACAGGGCGGGGAAACCCGACTCCACAGAAAACAAACAACCTCTCCTCCGCAAGACCCTGGCCAGGCAACCCCATGCAGAGGCCCCCGCTGGAATTCCAGGCTGCCGGCAGGCTCCCAGGCCTCGAAAGGCTCCAGGGGAGAGAATTCCACACAAGGGCCTGGCCTGGAATGCTGCGTCCTGAAGACTCTTCCAACCCGCGTTCACATCTCTCAGCTCTCGTATCAACTCCTGTCCAGCCCCTCGCTGTAGAGACACAGGACAAGAAGGCAAATTGATCTCTCAGCTTGGAATCACCGTCGATGTCAAATCCTTGGGTAGAGGACTTGTCAAACTTGAATCACGAGTCCCCTGGTAAAATGCGACCCTGAGTCTGTGGGTCTGGAGTGGGGCCCGAGGCTCCGCATTTGTGACAAGCTCTCAGGGGAGGGCAGTGCTGCTGGTCTGGGAGTAGCAGGGGCTGGAGGCCCTTGAAAGAGACTCTGGAAGGAGGCCAGCAAAAGCGCACCTGAGGCAGGATGCCCCAGGGTACAAGCCCACCTGAGGCTTCAGCTGGCAGGAACCAGAGGACCTCTCATCTCTGGAACCAGCTTGCTAGAGCTTAGGCGTAAACGCACGTGCACGTTTCTGAAAATACCGCACAGGTGGAGGTTGGCAGAGAAAAGGGACAGGGCAGGGGAAAGACTGGCAGGTGGCAAAGAGCACAAACCCCTGGCTACTGCTAGGGAAGGGATTACAAACCATGGGTTATACACAGTGCCTCCTTTATCCTCACAATGACACCAGGGGCAGGCAGACGAGGGAACGGGCTCAGACAGGTAATGCAACCTGACCTGTGTCACTTAGCTAATCGTTACCAGAGGCATGATTTGAACCCAGACCAGACCGTTCCGGCTCTAAAACCCGAGTGCTTTTCTCTACACCCTGGTGTGCAAAAGAGGCGAGGATCCTTCACCCAGCTCCCCCAAAAGTTAACATTTTACAAAACATAGAGCAATCATCAAAACCAGGGGACTAACGGTGACGCAATGCTATTCACTACCCTACAGACTATATTCACATTTCGCAGCTGTCCACTAAGGTTCTTTTCCTGCTCCAGGAACCAGTCCAGGACCCCACATTGACTGCATTTAGTCACCACACCTCCTTGGTTTCCTCCAACCTGGGACAGTTCCACAGCCTTTCTTTGTCTTTTGTGACCCTGACATATTTGAAGAGTCCTGGCCAGTTATTTGCAGAATGTCCCTCAATTTGGGGTTTGCTGTCTCCTTGTGATTAAATTCGCATTATGCATTTTTGGCAAAAGTACCATAGGGGTGAGGTTGTCCTCTCACAGGCTTACTATGTGTTGTTATGGCGGGGTCTGCAGGTGTCTCCCCTGGAAAGTTACTACTGTTCCCTTTGTAATTAACAACTATTCCGGATGGAGTTTCCGAGAGACTTCCCAAAGGTTTGCACAGGCGATTCCAGTGCACACTCATGTTCCAGCGCTCTAGGGCTAAAGGAGCAGTGAGTGAGTGCAGCCAGCACTCCGGGAATCTGGCTACACGGTTAACAGCCAGATGCACAACAGACAACCTGCAGGGGATGCCAGCAAATCTCCACCACAGCAGCCTCAAGCAGGAAGCCGACCTGGGGAGTTCGGTTATCTCAGTGACAGAAAACTAAACACACAAACAGAAAACCCCTCAGTGTCAACATCCCATCAGGAGTATTCTGAAGAGCAAATTTAGCGCCCTGCAGTGTCGGTGCCAGAAAACGGGAATGTGCACGTAAGGATTCCCCCAAGACGCTGTAGCTTCTGGAAAACTTTCTTCCAATTCCTCAGAGAGAAAATAGAGCTCCCAGCTCCCAAGGGCAAGCCTGCGTTTCTGGCCCAGGGCTCCAGGTGAAGGCGTTATGCAAAGCTTGTGTGTCCTTGGGCTGGCTGGGTGAATGTGAAATCCTGAGGGCTCTCCCCCGCTCCTCCCGAGAGCCCTCTGCCACCTTGAAGGCGCAGCAGGAGGCTCTCGCTGGGCCCCCCTGGGGTCCTCCCCCTCCCTGCAGAGAGCTCCAGGCACACCCAGCGGAGACCTCTAAGTCTGTCAGGTCTCAGTCCTCCTCCAAGAAGCCAGCCCTGCTAGCCCTCTTAACCACACTTCGCAATGATGGGGTTACGACTACTGCACTGGGAAGGGAGGCCCTGCCTTTTAGCCTCACTTTATCCCCAGGAGCTGAGCAGGCGCCTGCAGAGTAGGTACTCAATAGTATGTGATCACTAAGGGAATACAGAAACAAACAGAAAAAGAAATGAGTCAGAAAGAGATGGGCTGCGAATCGGGAGCACTCTGAAGGATTCATTTCAAAAAGAAAGATTTCAGTACTCTCCAGGCACGTGAGTATTCGAGTCTAATAACTGGAGGCCAGGTGAGGACGCCCGCACATCACCACTGGAATCAACGAACGCACCCTGGTACACACGGGGACACGTGGATTCCTGATAAAGTGCCCACATTTTAAAACTGTGCACCTCTCAACTGAAGAATTAGGCAAGCTAGGCCGAGGAGGGCCCCTTTAGGACCCAACACCACCGCTCCCATCCACTTCTCTAGGCAGAGACCCCCGCATAATCAATTCCACCGTTCTCTCTCCACCCAGGACACTAAGGGTACTGTTCACACACAGTCCACCTGCCCCGAAAGCATTTGGGGTTCTGTTAGAAATCATGATTGCTGGCTCGCATCCCATGCTGAGACGGACTCATGGGAAATTGCACCTCTAAGAAGGTGGACCTTCAGTAGAGGGACGTTGGAGGACCACTGGTCTAACAAGAACCAACGATCACTTAGAGCCGGTCCATCTGCCCTTGCTGGACTGCAGCAGTATCCCACAAGCTCTGGGGATTCCATTCAGAGCACCTGTGTTTTGATGCAAGGGGAATATGGAGGTAACACGCTGCAGAAAGAAGGTGACACGAGGAGGGGCCAGGACTGGGGAAGTCCTGGGCGGTGTCCCTGCTCCTAGGGGATACTCAGCTTCGAGGGGGTCACAAGAAACGGACAGTGCAGATGCCAAAAGAACCATGAGGGTGAAACGCATCCTGAAAATTCTGCCTCAGGTTGGAACTGGAATTCATTCATTCATCCATTCCAGGATTCCTTCCTCCAGCATGTGCTTAACGTGCCTGGACCTGGATCGGAACCTAAAGCATGAATGTGGCTTCAGATATGTCCAAACTGTCCCCATGCCAAATGAGATGACATCCACTGCGAGTGGCGGCTTACTGAATTCAGGACCTCAGACGTCAATACCTTCACTGGATGGAGCTAGAATTCCGAAGGTCCCTCGTATATGAACTCAGGTCTTTTTTTGACCTCACATCAGAAGTAGCCACAGTTCTTCTGGAAAGAAAAAGACTCCAAACATGGAGTTCAAAAGCCACACAAAATAAACCCAGGACTGGCNGCTCAGACAGGTAATGCAACCTGACCTGTGTCACTTAGCTAATCGTTACCAGAGGCATGATTTGAACCCAGACCAGACCGTTCCGGCTCTAAAACCCGAGTGCTTTTCTCTACACCCTGGTGTGCAAAAGAGGCGAGGATCCTTCACCCAGCTCCCCCAAAAGTTAACATTTTACAAAACATAGAGCAATCATCAAAACCAGGGGACTAACGGTGACGCAATGCTATTCACTACCCTACAGACTATATTCACATTTCGCAGCTGTCCACTAAGGTTCTTTTCCTGCTCCAGGAACCAGTCCAGGACCCCACATTGACTGCATTTAGTCACCACACCTCCTTGGTTTCCTCCAACCTGGGACAGTTCCACAGCCTTTCTTTGTCTTTTGTGACCCTGACATATTTGAAGAGTCCTGGCCAGTTATTTGCAGAATGTCCCTCAATTTGGGGTTTGCTGTCTCCTTGTGATTAAATTCGCATTATGCATTTTTGGCAAAAGTACCATAGGGGTGAGGTTGTCCTCTCACAGGCTTACTATGTGTTGTTATGGCGGGGTCTGCAGGTGTCTCCCCTGGAAAGTTACTACTGTTCCCTTTGTAATTAATAACTATTCCGGATGGAGTTTCCAAGAGACTTCCCAAAGGTTTGCACAGGCGATTCCAGTGCACACTCATGTTCCAGCGCTCTAGGGCTAAAGGAGCAGTGAGTGAGTGCAGCCAGCACTCCGGGAATCTGGCTACACGGTTAACAGCCAGATGCACAACAGACAACCTGCAGGGGATGCCAGCAAATCTCCACCACAGCAGCCTCAAGCAGGAAGCCGACCTGGGGAGTTCGGTTATCTCAGTGACAGAAAACTAAACACACAAACAGAAAACCCCTCAGTGTCAACATCCCATCAGGAGTATTCTGAAGAGCAAATTTAGCGCCCTGCAGTGTCGGTGCCAGAAAACGGGAATGTGCACGTAAGGATTCCCCCAAGACGCTGTAGCTTCTGGAAAACTTTCTTCCAATTCCTCAGAGAGAAAAAAGAGCTCCCAGCTCCCAAGGGCAAGCCTGCGTTTCTGGCCCAGGGCTCCAGGTGAAGGCGTTATGCAAAGCTTGTGTGTCCTTGGGCTGGCTGGGTGAATGTGAAATCCTGAGGGCTCTCCCCCGCTCCTCCCGAGAGCCCTCTGCCACCTTGAAGGCGCAGCAGGAGGCTCTCGCTGGGCCCCCCTGGGGTCCTCCCCCTCCCTGCAGAGAGCTCCAGGCACACCCAGCGGAGACCTCTAAGTCTGTCAGGTCTCAGTCCTCCTCCAAGAAGCCAGCCCTGCTAGCCCTCTTAACCACACTTCGCAATGATGGGGTTACGACTACTGCACTGGGAAGGGAGGCCCTGCCTTTTAGCCTCACTGTATCCCCAGGAGCTGAGCAGGCGCCTGCAGAGTAGGTACTCAATAGTATGTGATCACTAAGGGAATACAGAAACAAACAGAAAAAGAAATGAGTCAGAAAGAGATGGGCTGCGAATCGGGAGCACTCTGAAGGATTCATTTCAAAAAGAAAGATTTCAGTACTCTCCAGGCACGTGAGTATTCGAGTCTAATAACTGGAGGCCAGGTGAGGACGCCCGCACATCACCACTGGAATCAACGAACGCACCCTGGTACACACGGGGACACGTGGATTCCTGATAAAGTGCCCACATTTTAAAACTGTGCACCTCTCAACTGAAGAATTAGGCAAGCTAGGCCGAGGAGGGCCCCTTTAGGACCCAACACCACCGCTCCCATCCACTTCTCTAGGCAGAGACCCCCGCATAAT